TATTGAGATCAACAAGGCATGATAATAAAAATCTTATCTTGGTGAAGCCATTCGCAGAGATGAGGCTGAGAGCATTGAGCAAGTGTTCCTTCTCCCTCTCTCACCGTGTTTTCACAACTCTAGAGAGGTGAGGGCTGCTATGAAGGTGATTTACGGTGATGGCCAGACTTGCTGATGATGTATCATGGCGGAGAGGTGAACGGCAGAGCTAGCCTCAACAATTGACGACGGTGGTCAGCGGCTTGCACGTTGGCTGAAGCCCCCAGTCCTCTTACAAGATCTTGTTTTGCTTGAGAATGGAGATCTAAGACACAAGCAAAGGGAGCATGTGAGTAATCTATATTATGTTTGTTCTACAAAGTAGATAGCCAACGAAAGGAAAAAGAAAAAGAAAGAGGGAATGCTCTTATCTCTTTATTTCCTCCGGTTTACTGCTTCTGGTCTTCTTCTTTGGAGGCATTGGTGCAGATAGTGGCTTAATCCCCAGCAGAGTCGCCAATTTATGTAGGGGACTTTTTCTTCCTGCAGCTAATGGGCTGGGCTGCTGCAAAAGGGCAGACTGAGGAGATTGCCCCTTTTGTTTAGGTTCGAAAATTAAGCCCCAAAATACCTCGAAAGGGCAGCAAAACCTTAGGAGATATTTTGGATAATCTTCACCAACGAGAATAATGGTGACTTGCAGATAGTTTTGGCATGCTTACAGATGGTCTTTTTAGCTCAGCATGAGTGGCATGTGGCATGGGAGCAAAATCAACATGGGTTTAGCACTAAGAGAGAAATTAGGCTTGGTTTATGAGAAAAGAAAGTGTTTAAGTAAGGAATGAGGTGTTTTGTGAGGAATTCGACTAGGGAAAGAGGAAAAAGAAAGGCAGAGTTCTTCTGGCAGCTGCTAGAAAAACAAATTGGAGAAGAAGATGAACAGTGCACGAGTTTGTTGAGTTTTTGCAAATTAGAGAGAAAGCTTGCTCTCTGTAGGTTGTGGGTTGTCTCTCTTGGGTAAGGGAATGTTCAATTTATAGCTGCTGGAAATCACCATTTTTCAAGAAACCATAATGGCTTCTACTTATTTTGGCTAAGTTTTTTCTTCCTTTCTCCTCCTCTTCTCTGACTTCCCTTTCTTGGCAAAGATTGCTTCTGTCTATTTACATGAATTCAGGGGATTTGGGGGCTCAACATCCTCCTTTCCCGCAGCTGTGCAGTGGGAGCTTCCACTCTTGGTTTGCTGTTTTTTCTTCTTTCCTTTCCTCTTCCTTGGCTGAATCTGATGAAGGAAAAGAAGTGAAAATATATGCTGGTCCAAGGGGTGTTTTTGACAGGGTGCAGGCCAGCATTCCTTGTTTCTTTGGGCGTCTCTGGCTTGGAACTTGCTCCCAGCAACTTTGCTTGATGAGTCTGCCAACCTCCTCCTTCACGTGTTCTCTGTTTTTCAAAAGAGCTGAAGCTCTTGTGGGCTATTTTGGGTTTTTCTAAGGGCCAAGATGGCTTTCTAAGCAAATGGGCTTTTTGTGAAACATTGGGCCTCTTGATTGGGGTTATTTTTTGGTTGGGTTATTTCTTGGTTAGGTTATTTTGCTTGGGCCTTTGGGCTGCTTTTCTCTCTTGTGCTTACCCATATGTTTGGGCCTAAGAAATGGGCTTGAGTTTCGAGGCTCCCAAGCAACCCGAGACTTTCCATTTTTCTGGCCCATCAATGGGCCTCATGTTGATTTATTACCGTCCATACCACAACCCACTCAAGCAAGCCCCGGGTATTTGAGTGGCTTGGGGCCCACTTAAGCTTGTGGCGTGATTAGGTGCGGAATGATAATTCCTTGCTTAGCGTGGCGTGTCGTTTGGCATGACATGTGTGCAAGCGCATATGATGAACTTTCGCATGCCCAAATCGGGTTTCTTCTTGGTAAAGCATCGCATTGGGCCGAGAATTTATTTGGGCCGAACCGTGAATATTTTGGGCCTCAACAGTAGGTTAATTGTAATGTTATTTTTTTCAATTAATTATGAATAATATTAGTATTGTTTAAATTATAAGGATATTTAATTGTCTATCCTTTTTTTCTTTTTCTTTTGTTAGCTTTTAGCCTTTAAAAATTACACATTCGCTCAAAAATTCCTAAGTCTGCCAGTGATCAAGACCATCATATTTATCGAGAAGCCAACATAATCACTAGTAGTCTCGCTCATTTAGGACATGAGTATCTAGAACCTTGTATTTGGTTTGACAATTTCCCCTTTCATGTTTACCAAAAAATATTGTTTAAGATGTATAATAAGATATATATGCCGAAGATTTTCGTTATAATTTATTTTATTAAACAAAAAGAAGCATTGTTTAAGGAGAAAAACTTTCATATCTCTTGCCTTCTCTCTCCATCTCTCTCCTGTATTACTCATGTGATGTTATGATGCGAACAAAAACAAGAGTAAGTTATTTTTGAAAAAGGAATAGCGATGGGGTGGAGGAGCTCATGTCATGGCTAGCACTGGCAGCCCTTTTATCTTCTCCTCATAATGATATTATTGACGTAGTTGTTTTTTTTTGGGTGTGAGACACTAAAGATAAGAGAGGCTAAAATTGAGCCTTATCTAGTTAATATATGTAGTTAGTTGTGCCATCATTTCGCTCAATTAAGTTTATATACCAAAGAGAGAAAACAACAATCTACACCTGTTTAGTGTCAATCACTTTCCCTGTGGCCACTGCCAGTGAAAAAAGTGTCGTCACTTTATTATCAATGCCAAAATAAAATTAAAGAATTTACAAAACATATTAATGATGTTTTTCGTTCTCTCAGATAAAAATCTAAAAGACAAAAAGGAAAGCAAAAGATAATAAACAGAGCATGCATTAATTAAGGAGTGCTGCGTTTGGTTCTCATTTTTTTAAAAAAAAAACCAACAAAAAAACATTTCCAACTTTGGAAAAAAAAACTGAGGAAAAAACAAAAAGCAGTGGTTCCGAATCTCAAAATTGGATCGCATCTCATTCATTGTCGCAGTGACCGACCATGTAAAGTGAAAAAGGCCATGTCTTCACCTTCACGATCGACCACGAGGGAAATGACGACAATACCCTAGATGGTTAACGTTGGGGATTGCCCTTTTGGCCTTTGTGTTGGGCATTGATTTGTAGTGGGAAAGGGAATGGAAATAAAACGTGGGATGTCGGGCCGAGTCAGAGGGAAGTGGGCCACGTCATCACCGACTTATAATTTAATATAATTTCTATTCTTTCTCAAGAGTTTTTGGAAACCTACCGACCGTGCAGCTGTGCTGTGAGTTGAGTGAGCTTGTTTTTCTCTCTTTTTTCTTCATAATTATTATATTTTACGTGTCAATCATATCAAAACAAAAAAACACAAACCACACAACAAAAATATTTTCTAGTATTAATGAGAATATTAAAGAGAAAATAAAGAAGAAAATAAAAAAAAAAAAAAAAAAAAAAAAAAAAACAAAAGTGTGTTGGTGTTTGGTGCTTGTGTTTCAAAAGGTAACTTTCCAGACCAGAATAGAATCATAATTCAGAAAGAAAGAAAGCAACCCAAAGACACTTGGCAACTCACTATTTATTATTCCATTCCATGTTTTTTTAACTTGTTATTATAAATTTAATAAATTTATAGGTTTTTTAGGTTTTAGACATAAAAAAATTTTCACTTTTGGAAAAAGCCAAAGCTTTTTCAAAAAAGACAGAAAAACAACTCAACTTTCAAATCAAAGACATGCAAATGTATTGGATTCCTTAGGAAATCCAAAAATAAATAAGGGCAAATTTGTCCATTTTGGCTTCTTTTACCAAATTTCTCTCTCCTTTGGATTTTTCCAAAGTCTCCCGTTAATCGAATCTTAACATCCGTGTAGTGAATAAGTTTAGTATTACTATTGCCTCTATTGAAAATATTTATTTCCTCAAACAAGGTTCTGAATTCGAGTCTTATCATGAGTTTAATGTTACTATGTTACTCTCAATAGCAAAGATCCTAAAAAAATTAATAATAATAAATTGAAAGCTTAAATAACAAATTTATTCAGCTGTGTTTGGTGCCCAGATATTATTGTAGATACAGAGAGAGAGAGAGAGAGAGAGAGAGAGAGCTCTTTTCAAAAATCAAACTGCGTGTCAAAATCAAAGAGAGAGCTCTTTTCAAAAATCAAACTGCGTGTCAAAATCAAATTGTAGCCGTTAGGCTTAAATCTCCTCCTCATATTCTCTTTCTCTTTTCTGGAGAATTGAGAACTGAGACAGACAGCACAGCACCCACAAATTGGGTTTTGGGTTACTTTTGTCCTTGTTTGTCGTTAAGCATTTGGATTTTTTTGTTCCCATCTGCGAAACTTTCATTATCGTTTACAAAATCTCCCATTTTTACTCTGCTGGGTTTTCATATTGCTCTGTTTTTCTCTGCTCCAATAAAAGCACAACACATTGCTGCTGTTGCTGTTGCTGTTGCTGCTGCTAATCGTTTTGGTGGAATATAAGGTCGATCTCAGCTTTGTCGACTGGGAAGAGTCGGTGGCTCGGTGGTGGGTGCCCTTTGGCGGTCACGATTAAATGTGTGGTAGCTTTATACTCTTCACAAAAGTTATTTATTATTTGTATCTCGTTTCTCTTCAGCTTTCATTTGTTTGGGGTACTTTTAATTTTTCATATTAAATATTGAATTGGATTAGATTGGATTGGATTTGGGTTCTCTTTCTCTCACTTTCTCAATCTCCACTTTCGTGGTCGTGGAGATAAATAAAGGAAATAAGATAACTGGAATTTCGCCGATTCTCCCAACCCACCTGCAACCTTTTTCCCTCTTTTTTCTCTTCAGTTACCAAAAAAGAAGCTACCTTCTTATTTTTTCTTTTTTATAAAAACTTTCTCTTTCTATTAACATCATAGTAAGTAAACCCTTTTGCTCCCTTCCTTTGTTTTTTTATATATAAAACCCAGTATTTTCCCGGGAACTTGATTCATTTTCCTAGGAAAAGAAAGAAAGGCAGGCAGTGGAAACATGGAAGGGGTATGGTTTCCCAAGTGGGTCTTGCTTTTGGTTGTGTTGGGTTGCTTGTGTCTCTCTGGTTGTGTTGTTGAAGGTCTTGGTGTGAATTGGGGAACCATGGCAACCCATAAGTTGCCGCCTGAGACAGTGGTTCAGATGTTGAAGGACAATGGGATTCAGAAGGTGAAGCTTTTCGATGCAGATGAGTCTACTATGAGTGCCTTGGCTGGCAGTGGTCTTGAGGTCATGGTTGCTATACCTAATGACCAGCTTGCTGTCATGGCCACCTATAAACAGGCCAAAGAATGGGTCCGCAGGAATGTTACCCGCTACAATTTCAATGGAGGAGTTAACATCAAGTATGTCAAGCTTACATTTCTCAAATTTTTAAGCTTTTTAAAATCATGATGATTTTGATTGTTGTTACTGCTCTTTGATATGATTTCTGATAGCATTTTATTTGTTTGGTTTGGTTTACTTACTTCTTTGAGTGCCTATTCATGACGTGGTATAACTGCCCTACAGATTTTTTCTTTTCTATTCTAGATGTTTTATAACAGCACGACAATGAATTCATAGTAAGTTTAAGCAGTTAAAGCTACTTTGAAATTGCGTATTGGTTCAATTTTGATTCCTGAAACTGCTGATACAGAGGAGTTATGTGCATTGAATATTCTGTCTTTTAATTTTCTTCTCATAAGTTTTTTCTTCTTCTGTTATTTTTTCTCCAGGAATCCTATTGGATATGTGGTCAGTTTATTCTATTCATCTCTCTGTTTCAGTCCAGTTTTAAATTTTTCTTTGTCTGCTATATAAAGTTGCTGAGAAACAGAGCAGTAAGATCAACACACACCAATCATAAGAAAATAAATTAATTGAGAAAATAAAGATATCCAAACTTTTTGACATACTGTTAGTTGCATTTTTTTTATGTACACCTCACATTTGCCTAATTATGTAAAGAAGAGATCTGTTTGTAGTACTGGACCACCAATTTGATTTTTAATATTTCTGTATTTTTAGAAGAGCTGAAAGAGAAATGACATCAACCTAAATTAGTTTATGTTAGAGTTAAAAGGGGTTCCTTTTCTATTTTTTCTTTCTGTGTAATGCAAAACCTGACAATCTTTGGAGTCAATTGACTCCACAAACTGCTGGAATGGGACAAGAACTTTGCCTATTCGCAAATGTGTCAAAAGAATTCTTTTTTGTCTTACTATTTCTGCTACTTTTGCATAGGTATGTAGCAGTTGGTAATGAGCCTTTCCTCACATCCTACAATGGTTCCTTCCTGAATGTCACGTTCCCAGCACTTCAGAACATTCAAAATGCCCTTAATGAAGCTGGAGTTGGAGATTCGATAAAGGCTACTGTGCCCTTAAATGCAGATGTTTATAACTCACCAGAGAGCAACCCTGTTCCATCTGCAGGAAGGTTCCGGAGTGATATCAGTCCACTGATGATCGCTATTGTCCAGTTCTTGGCCAAAAATAAGGCTCCTTTTACTATAAACATCTACCCTTTCCTGAGTCTATATGGCAATGATGACTTCCCATTTAACTATGCCTTCTTTGATGGGGATACCAATCCCATTGTTGACGCCACCACTGGGATTCAATACACCAATGTCTTCGATGCTAATTTTGATACCTTGGTCTCCTCCTTGAAAGCAGTGGGATTTGGGGATATGACCATTGTGGTAGGAGAGGTGGGATGGCCGACAGACGGGGACAAGAATGCCAACGCAGGTAATGCTTACAGATTTTATAATGGGCTTCTACCAAAACTTGGAACCAACAGAGGCACGCCACTGCGACCTGGATATATCGAAGTTTACTTGTTTGGACTGATTGATGAGGATGCAAAGAGCATTGCTCCAGGAAGTTTTGAGCGTCATTGGGGAATTTTCAGATACGATGGACAGCCCAAATTCCTTGTCGATCTTTCTGGCCAGGGTCAAAACAAGTTACTAGTGCCTGCGAAGAATGTGCAATATCTTTCTAAAAAGTGGTGTATGTTTAACCCAAACGCCAAAGATGTGACCAAACTGGCAGATAATATAAATTATGCTTGCACCTATGCAGATTGCACAGCACTGGAATATGGTTCTTCTTGCAACACTTTGGATGCCAACGGCAATGCTTCGTATGCATTTAATATGTACTACCAGGTTCAGAACCAGGATGATCTGTCCTGTAACTTCGAAGGTTTGGCTACGTTGACAACACAGAACATTTCACAAGGGAATTGCAATTTCATCATTCAGATTGCAACTTCATCTACATTTTCTCTAAGACCCTCATTGGTAGGCTTACTACTAACGTCACTGTCAGCTTTGATGTTGCTATAGATTTTTGTAGATAGCTCAGATGTACTATTGTAATCCATTTTTTTCTTTTGGCTTCATGGATTCTGTGGCCTTCTGGGATTATTTTAGTTTTACTGATTAATTTAATAAATTTTACAGGATTTTCTATTATCATATAAAAGCTTTAACTTCTGTGTGCACGTGCCTTATATATTTTCATATCAGAATGCTATCGAATCACATCTTTGAAGAAGTACATATGTGGCCTCTGTTTGTGAACTCAACTTAGTGATCCTCGAGATTGCAGGTAGATGCTTTCCTGGCCATTGCAAGGCCCTTGCAGAAACAGGTTACTGAGCAAGGCACTTTCTTAGGTTGTAACTCTAGGCTTCCGACCAAAACAAAAAGTTGTAACCCTTGGCTTCACCAAATTTTTATCAATTTTAGCTTTTACCAAGTTATTAAGCCGAAATAACAAACTTTTTTATTTCTTTTGCCTTCATTGTACTCCAGTTTAAGTGTGGAGTAAGGGCCTCAACCTAAGCAAAGTACCCTAAACAAAGTCCAAACTAAAATACCCCAACCTAAGCAAAGTTAAAATATTCCTTTCCAAATATAACGAAGTAAAGTATAATTCAAATTACATCTCATCCACGAACTCTATGATCTCTGAGGAATGGCATCACATACTCATACCTATGTGTGCACCATCATTTAATGTCTTGAACACACGCAGTTTTGCTAGATCAGCAAATAAAGTGAGGAGATTTGATCTGAAATAGAAAGCCCCATCTTTTTTAGCTCATCTCCTGCAATGACCATCATCTTCTTTGTGCTCCTTTAGGCTGTGAACTAACATTTGCACTTTGGCATTATAGTACTACATCATACTCTTAAATGCATTGGCAATTGGGTTTTCACATGTAAGTCCATAAAGTATGGCGAGTTTTTAGGTCTAATGGTCCCTGAAGTTTGACTCGATTCGCATTTTGGTTCCTCAATTTCCATAATCGTTCCTATAGTCCTTCAACTTCACTTTTTTTTTAAGGACAAATGGTATTGCTGTCAATTTTTTTTTCTTCTCTTTTCTGTTAAATGCGGGGGCACAATGGTATTTTTGCATTATTTTTAATTTCCACCATCTGAATATTCCTTTCACCCAAAAAATAAAAAATAAAAACGTTCTTCCTATCCTCGCCATCGCAGGGAGTGTGGGTATGGTTTGGGTGGGGGGAGCGCCATCAGTTGTTGACGGACTGGTAGGTTAATTGGCTCAGTGTCGGGTGGAGGTTGTTCATGGCTTTGTTGGATTGGAGGAAGGGAGATATATCATTCTTTGATGGGTGGTGGGTTATAATGGGCTTGGCTTGGGGAGGGAGGGAGATACATGGATGGGGAGAGTTAAGTTGCAGTAGTGGGAGAGTGGGTGCGCCAAGAATTGCCCATGTACCCCAAGAGTGAAGCAATTTCTGATTTTGACCCTCAACAATACATCATGTGTCATGCACATGCTCAAATTTAACAGAAAAAGTTAACAAAATTGACGGCAGGACCATTGTCCTAACGACACTAAAGTTGATGGATCACGTGAATGATTTTGGAAATTTAGGGACCGAAATGCTTATCGGGTCAAAGTTAAGGGACCATTGAACCTAAAACCTAAAGTGTGGCCCAAAATATTTAAAAGCCCTACAATACTCAAACCTTAGGAAAAAGCTAATCTTGACTTTTCAAATGGACCAAATATACCATATAAGCCTTGAAAATTCTAAAAATTACAATACTACCATCAAAGTCTTTTTTTTCTTTCTAAAAATCATAATGTAAGGATAATAATCGCAAACTAGTCTCCCGTATTTTTAAATAAGCATAAACTACAAAGGGGTTTCCTTGATGGTTAGTAAGTGTCAGGTATAAAGGGCTTAAATTGACTTTTTTATAAAACGTCACAAAACACTAGTATATAGTTGACGTTTATTAACAAGTGTCAAGGATTAGTAGAATAATTGATGGTTTTCCAGTAAGTGTCAACTATGAAGTGTCAACTAAGGCCTATTTTCTTGTAGTGACGTTTGTTATTCCAAGTCTTCTTTTTCTTTTTCTTTTTTATAAATAATTTTAAATCTTCTATGTAAGAAGCATTTTTACTCTGTTATCTAATCTATTATCATAAAAATTTCACCTAATGGAAAATTTTCAATTCTTCACATAACCCAATCCTTGAACTAGCCATTATAATATGAAAAACACAGCCACTATAAATTATCTAATTCAAAAGAACAAAGAAAAGAACTCAAGAAGGAGTCCAAAGAAAGAAATATTCCAGAACCAAAAAAATAGACAGAAAACCTAAAAATAAAAATAGAGAAAAATCTCAAAACATCTGCAGAAAAAATTCATACCATAAAGTCGAGAGAAGAGAAAAATTGAGTACAATATTCAATCAAGTAGAGAGAATAGGAAGATTCATAGATAGAGAGAGTCGTGATATGTTGAGAAGCACTGGAAACTCAGTTCAGTTTGCTTGGGAAACACAAGACGAAAACACATGAACGCTCTAATTAGTGAGCATACTATTTGTCCCCCCTTCCACACGGGCTTCACTAAGAACACTTAAGGAGGTGTTTTTGATGGGTCCAGCATTAGTAGTCCCCATTTAAAACTAGAAGTAGGTGAACCAAAAATGGGCCTAATTTTAATCAAATCCAGTCCATACCTGGGAGGTGTACCAAACGAGTCGTGAGGGGGCTAATCCTCCAGTGTTGGAGATGGCCTTAAACCATACAAATGAGACATGATTAACTTAAGACTATCTCCAACCATAAAAGGGCTAAACCTAAATTTCTACCGTCCAAAATACAACCATTCATGTATTGCCACTTTATCAACGAAAAGAGAGTGAAAAAAATTAACAAAGTGAGAGGTGAAAAAAATTAACAAAGTGAGAGAGGAAAAAAATTGATTTTGGCGGGGTTTTTTTTTGTTTTTGTTTTTTTTCCTTTTTCACACTCAAATCATTTTGGGAAAAATTAGGGCCCTTAAGTGTTTTGCCCATTGACCGTCAAATTTGATTGGAAGAGAAATAAAAGGTTGTCTAAATGTTGCCATTGGATTGCAACGGCTACTACACTTGGGTGTGACAAGTGGAAGAAAGCCAATGTCTAGTGGCCTATTTTGTGAGAAAGACTTCTATGAAACGGGGATAACACTATTTTGATATTCCTGGCCAATAACGCTATGATACACTTGATAACACTACCACATGACATAGTATTATTGATCAGGGATAGTGGAACAATGCTATCCCCATTGCAACTAAATTTTTCTCCTATTTTGCAGGTGTCATCAAGGCCGGTCCCGTTTCTAGAGCACATGGCCTCTTTTCGCGCACAGTGGGCTTCACCATTTATTGTCTGGACTGCAATCTTGGGCCAAATATTGCCCCATTTTCCAGTCAACTTAAAATTCAAACCCCTCCCAAGACATGGGTTGTGGAGATGGTTTTGGACTACATTTTAGGATTTTGTTGGGTTTGGCCCATGGTTGGAGATTCTCATTTCTCTCCCTCACTCCCTCTCTGCTTTCACTGTCACTCCACCAGCACCTGCATCGCCCAAGTCATCCCACAGCGCCCACAACGCCGTAGTATAAGAGACGCATCATCTTTTCATTCAATCCAATTCCTAAATTTCCGATGTTTCTTATTATGTGCTCTGCGGCTTGAGAGCTTGCTTCCTCCATCATTCATTCTACTGCCACGTCCACCAATGGCGAAGAAGTACGCGATGGCTAACGCGCCCCTCTCTGAGTTCGGCGTATTGGTAGCGCAATTGGAGTCCATAGTCGCCTCAGCATCCCAGCAGCCTCCGGAGGCACTCTTGTGCTTCGATCTCCTCTCCGATCTCATCTCCGCCATTGACGAAGAGCCCAAGGTCCCTCTCGCTCGATTTTCCTTCCACTTTTGTCCTACTCGTTTCTTTTTTTTCACTCGGACTTTTACGCCTTAATGAAATTCGTACGAATTAGGATTTGATTTGGTATATGTGTAGAGCGTTTAATTTGATTGATTAGATCCAGCATTTCTCGTAAATAGTTCGAAATGGAGCGGCCGAGTGATGCATATCGACACTTGGATTGAAAATCTATTGCATTATAGTATTAGTTGTGAATAATGGACAGATTTATGTGCGTATGGAGACCTATGACAATTGGCGTGGAACTGATGAATTGCAGGAATCCATTTTGTTGTGGCAAAGGAGATGCGAGGACGCACTGTATTCCTTGCTTATTCTTGGTGCCCGGCGACCTGTCCGCCACTTGACTTCAGTCGCTATGGCAAGGGTTATAGCTAAGGGAGACAGTATTTCAATATACTCCAGAGCAAGCAGTCTCCAAGGCTTTCTTTCTGATGGGAGGAGGAATGAGCCACAAAAAGTTGCTGGTTAGTCGAAATGGCTGGAACTATTAGTGTGTTCTACTTTTATGTGCATTTTTTTTTGGGTAAACTGATAATGTACCTCTTTGGTACATTGGATATATGGTCTAACTCATAACAAATGTTTCGATATTGTTTACAGATACGCTCTCTGTCAAGTATTGTGTCTATCATATAGTTGTCGACTTGTTAATTCATGGAATACTAGAAGATTTGTTCTTGGTAGTAGAAAGGAGTTTCTTTGGAGGGCTGTAATGTACTGCATGTTATAGACAATTTAGTTTGGAGAGAAACAACAGAGTTGGCCACATGTTGTGCTTTTGTATGATATTATAACTTGCAGAAACAACTTTTTTGTTGCTTTATATGAGCTAAGGGAATTTTTATTAAAGAAAGATTTTGTGATATATGCTTGCCATCCTTTAAAAGGCGTTTGAATGATTGAGTGTACTTAGCATTCTCCTTTTTCTGTTTTCTTCCTTCTTTTTAATTCTCTTTTTGAATACAATTCTACAGGTGCTGCACAATGCTTAGGTGAATTATATCGACATTTTGGGAGGCGAATCACTTCTGGTTTACTTGAAACAACCATAATTGCCACGAAACT